TCAAGGCAACCAAATTTCCAGACCATAAAACAAGCCATGTCATTGTTTCAGCAGCCATCTCTTACAACAGGAGACAGGGGGCTCATTGGATATTTGATCACTCATAAAAGTTATAAATTAGAAGATGAATTTATTATCAATGGATCCCTTTACACATAACAGAGACATTATCTCTCTCTTAAGGTTCAGTTTAGTTCATTTTGAAAGAGACAGAATATAGAATCAAGAATATTTATACCAACAAAGATTTTGCTGTTAAACGCTCAAAAATTGTCATTGCCTCTTAAATTTAATTTTCAGTTTGGTAGTAAAGAATGAAGAAGAAACATCTTAAAAGGAAGAAAGCAGGATATGGAAGCTGGTTTTGACCTTGCTTTTTAGTGTACAATTTTCCTTATCTGATTTTTTTTCTCCTCCTGTGGTACTGGGGATTGAACTTGGCCTCACGCATGTTAAGCAAGTACTCTACTGGTGAGCCACATCTCCAGCCTGAGTCTAATCTAAAAAAACAAAACAAAACAAAAAACATGTTTTTTTTACTCTTTTCTCTGTATTTTCTTTTTTAGTTTTTTTTTTTTTTTTTTTAGATGTTGATGGGCCTTTATTTTATTCATTTATTTATTTATATGTGGTGCTGAGAATTGAACCCAGTGCCTCACACATGCTAGGCAAGCACTGTACCACTGAGCCATCACCCCAGCCCCTCTGTATTTTCTTGATTTAATCTTTTTCATTTTTATTCTTTGTTTTTTATTTCAATCTGAAGATTATTTTTCTATCTTGCCATATATATCTGTGTACAATAAACCCTCTTGTGGATCAAGGCAGGGAAACAACAGAGGAGTTGGTGGAATTTCTGCCCTTTCCACCCCCAGTCCTCCTTCCAGGGCAGGTGGAACTCAGGTTACATGAGGGCAGAAGTAGAACTCCTTGTACTTTACCTTCAGGATAACTCTAGGATTCCAAACTTCCCAAAATTCAGACGGGGAAAGAATTTTTTAAAAGGATAAACACTTTTAACCAATCTTTAACCTGGAGACTAGCTATTTGCCAAAATACCTCACCTTGTTGAGCCAATAAATTGAGAGCAGGAGAGAGGGAATACGACTTTCAAGGGGTTAAGGGGCAGGGCTTTCTTGTTTTACAAGCAGGAGGAGGAGGAGGATACCAATATAGTTAGTCAGCATTCATTAATTCTCATTAATGTCTTCCTCTCAACTCCATTCTTCTCTGCACAGCTGTGCAAATATAAATTAATTAGGCCATTTTGACCAAGGCATCCAAGAAAAAAAATTAATGTGAGGCCAAAGAATTAAATTGAATAAATAACACATTTTTTCAACACGTGGGAAGGATTTTGCAAGCTACCACATCATAGATTGAAAGACATACAGGCATTCCTTGGTAATCATGGGGAATTGGTTCCAAGACTTCCTGAGGATGCCAAAATCTGCAGATATTCAAGTTCCTCATATAAAATGATGTAGTATTTTTATATAACCTATCCATATCCTTCTGTATACTTCAGATCATCTCCGGATTACTTCTAATAAACTAAGATGTTTCAGTTCTATGCAAATAGTTATCATACTATATTATGATAACGACAAGAGAAAAGTCTGTACATGTTCAGAACAGACACAATATTTTTCAAATACTTTCAATCTGTATTTGACAGAACATATAGATGAAGAACCTGCAGACACAGAGGGGTAACTGTTCATTCAAATTCATCCTATTGTAAACATCCCCGAGTAAGATGCCACCAAAGAGCAGAATGAGCTGGGAATGAGACCACCACGAAGCAGGTAGTGAATGGCCCAAGAGAACAGTAGCACTCTCTCTTTGTGGCACTGTGCAGAGAGTAATATTTAACACCCACAATAATATCATTATCTCAGATGGAAGGGCAGTCCCTCTGACAGTTTACATATGTAAATAGGAACAAAGAGGTTAAGCAACCTGCCAGTCAGTGGTAGAGTCAGTTACAATTTGTTTTCAGTGTTTAAAAAATTTTCTTTGGCATTAAACCTATACAAAATAGTGCAGTTCATTTTGACATATTCATAAATGTATATAACATAGTTTCTCCCTTTAAATCCCCAGTACTACCCTTATTCTCCCTGTCCTCCCTTCCCCAATCCCCTTCCTCTACTCTATTGTCTTCCTTCTATTTATTTCTTTATTTGATGCACAATATACATTCAGGTTGACTAGCTCCAGAGACTGCTTCTAACCCTGTCTTTTTCTAGGTACTTGACATTATTCTTGCATTACAGAGAGTAAAAAAGGTAGGGATCGGTTCTTGCCCTTAGCAATTTACAATCTGACTGGTGAACCAGGAAGGACATGCATAAAATAATAAAAAATAGAACAGGAGCACATCATCAGGTATACATCTTTTAGGTGAAGGAGGCAATTCATGAAAGTTGGGGGCACATGGTATGTATAGCTCATCTGGGCAACACTTGAGAAGGATTTCCACCACATTCTCAACTAAATAACATGTTGAGAAGACCATACTTGAGATAAAAATGATGGATCCCTGACACGCCATGGTGTGCGTGCTCAGGAAAAACTCTCCATTTCAAAAATCTCCCTTAAGAGGATAGATGGATGGCCAGCCCATCCCCAGCTGCATCTTAAGGATTAATAAAAATGTCCATAGTCCCCCTGAGCTTGATCTCAGATGGGAGGGCAGTTCCTGCAGTCCCTCTAAAAGAGGTGTGGCAACTTCTCTCAGCCTCCAAAGACTAAGGAGGGAGGAGAATTTGCATCACCTCCTCCTCAGTTCACTTCATTGAAAGTTAACCAGTCCAGCGCCTGTGACTGAGGAAAAGGGCAGATTTGAGAGACGGACCATAAAAGACTCAGAAGAAGCAATCACAGGGCTGCAGAGAGGAGAAAACCGGAAGAAAGCACTGGCATGCAATGAATTATCCTGAAATTTAACCAGACTCACAAGCTTCCTTGAGAAATTATGACAAAGGTTCTGAAGGAACCTGTTTCCATTCCCTTTATCATGTTTCCATTTCTTGTGTGCTCTTAATATTCAAGCATACATGTCTACAGAAACCAGCACTTTTGAGCAGGACATTGTGATGCTTTCAGTGGCAATCTCACAGTTGGAAGTGCTGGGCAACTTATAGTACAAAACAGTGCAGGGAGGCCCCTCACAAGCTTCACACCTGTGACTCATGTGGGATCAGGTGAAGAGCCACAGAAAGAAATCCACAGACACTGGCTGGGGTGAGTGGTCATCTGTGCAGAGCAGGCCTACTCCCCAGGCATACTCCCTGCTGTTCCTGAGAGTCCAAGTAGTATCAGGGTCCTTATTTCAGGGCAAATATTCCTAAAATGTCTCAGTCGAAAAGCAAAGTGCTCAGTTTAAACTCCTAGCTAACAGTTCTCAACTCCATAGAACTCATAGAATCACTAAGGGGACTTTTAAAAAATACCCAAGCTGCACCCAAACCCAGCACTTCTGATTCAAAGAGACTGGGATTGGCCTGGATACTAAGTGTAACATGTAAACGGGGTTTGAATCACCATGTCTAACTCAGCCAAGTCTCAGATAACATAAATATAAATTTATTGCTATTTTCCAATAGCAATAAATTTTGAGAAACTGAATTTTGAGAACAAAATGCCCGGATGGTAATATAATTCTAATTCTGCCATGCACTAGTTAAATGGCACATGACTTCCCAGAGACTTGGTTTCCTCAGCAATGTAATGGGATTAATCACACCAACATTAGAGGGTAGCTGAGATGACTGCATGACTTTGAGCACATAAATAATTTAGCTCAATGCACATGCTAAATGCTCAGTAGATGTCAGGTACCATAATTGATGATGATGGTGATGATCAAAGTACAAATATACCAGTGTTATTTCAATAAAAGGGATGTTTTTTTCTAGATGTTTTTTTTAGTCCTCAGGCAAAATTTTAAAGGAACTGTGAAGAACTGGAATATGAAAGTTCTAGAAATTATTATTTCATTTATATACAGAGAACTGGTGAATGAAGCAAGAGTATTTCGCCAGGATAAGAAAAAAGTGAGAAGGTAAATGGTACTGTCTTCAGATGTGAAGATCAGCCAAGAGCGAGATTCTTAATGAGGACAGACTATGGACAGAAATCAGAGCCTGGAGATTTGGATGAGAATTTTTAAATGAATCTTTATTAATCTCAAATGGAAATTGAGCATTTCCTTCAATTATGAAAACAGGCAACAAATCTAAATATTGACATTTAGGTGACTTGTAGCCCTAGTTAGCTCAGGACTGAGGGATTTCCCAGGATGGAGCTTATAGTACTCAAATTGAGAAAGTCCCAAGCAAACCATTCCCTTCTTACATTCATCATTATTTTAAAATTATGGTAGTTACCATATTTCTAGACATCACTATTTAGTGTGTTAATAAGGAAGCACTTAAGTTGTCATATCACAATTTTGAAAAATTTATAATCTGATCAACATAATTACAGGCTTTCTATTTCATTTATGCATTTAAAAGCAGTGTTCTAAGTCCACAGGTCTCATCAGTTTGTCAAAGGTCTGAGACCACAGCAGAAAAATTTAAGAGGGAAGAGACAGGGACCATTGGTTGGAAAAATACAGAAACCCAGATTTAAATTCCTTTACATCTGGAAACCTAAAAACAACAATGAATTACATCATAGAAGGGGACTCAGACATTTATCTCCAAAGATAGCCAATGAATGGAGGCATTTTTCTACTACCAGAAAGCTCCCTAATTCCTCCACTCTTGTGGATACATGAACATGTGTTTTGTTGCTTACTTACAGTGTTACAGAGTTGACTCAATCTTGATAGCTACCAATTGGAGTATCTATTTTCCAACAGCTACAAATGCTCCCACTAAAAATTGTAATTTGACAGACTTAATATTTTTCATGAATTAAGACAATGGAAATTTGGATTTTGAAAAGATCAAGTTTAAAGAAATGATCAAATAAACTTGAATTCTTACCGGAGACCACAGGGCTTCTGACAGACATCGGCCCCCACTGTGCCTTATCTCCACTGTGGGCAGAGGTTTCATGACTTTCCCACAAGGCAGTGAGAGGCCATTTCTTTTCTGATCAATGTAATTCCAAGCAACCAGTCCAATGTGGCCAGAAGGCAGGGTTCTCATGATTGCTCTCGTCCCCGTATACACAGATTTCTTTACTTCCCTGTCATTTTTGCAAAATCTCCTGACTAACAAAGTGGACCGTTCCTTTTTGCTTTTAAAAAAGTCTTCTTCAGTATCTTCACAATTATCAGGGAAATCCTCAAAATGGCTCAAAAAAGTCTTAGTAGGTACACTTTCAGTGAAATCCCCCCTGCAAATGCTATCACTAGAGCATATCACGTCATCCTTCTGGCCAGAGCCCTCAAAGCAAAGGTATTTATGATTCAAGGTGTCCCAATGATCACACTGCAGCTGCCCATTCCTGTTATCACAGTTTTTTGCCAAGTTTACCAGTTTACAAGTATATGCTGTGTAATCTTGCTTTTGCTCCCCCGTAGGAAGTGGGATGCAATTTCCACAATCGTCCAAAATTAAGTTTTCTGATAGGGTATGGAAAGCCTCTGACATTCTTCTGTCAACTTCATAATGAAAATTAAATACTGCCATGTTGCTGTCAGGCTGCACTCTGTGGGTCTCGATGGTCTCAGAGTGACTTCCTGAAGGACTAATGCTCATGGGAGGTGTGTCTATTTCCAGTTTAATTCCAGGGAACACCTTTCTTTCCAGTGGAGAAGGAATTCCAGTTTCCAAACACAGGCCTTCCTCCGTGACAGAGTTGCACGTTTCATAATAGTGGCTCTGAGGCAGGCCACGCTGATGGTTTCGCAGAATGTTGTTGCAGCTAATGTTAAGGTTTTTCACAGAATCTGGCATGCTTTTCTCCCAGCACTTTTCATTGCTGTTCTCATCACTAAGCATTTTCTCCCTTGCTATGGAGAGAACATTAGGCAAGTGGCTTCCAGAAGATTCTTCTTTAAGTTTGTTCTGTTGTGAGATGGTATAAGAGGTCTGCCCAGCTTGCCTGACAGTATGTGCCTTTGGAATACAGATGTCAGAGTTTTCATTATTTTCATCTAGGGCCACCTGGACAGACACCACTTTTTTCTGAGTCACAGGGATAAGAAAGGAAGCTGCCATTTCTTCAGAAGTCATCTTGACCAATGCAGTTTTCAGCTACTGCTGTTGCTCCTCCCTGCTGATCATGTCAAGATTTCTAGAAAACGAGTGATTGTTAAAACAATCTCAGATCTAAACAAGTGCTTCTGAGAAACGTGATGACTCCTTTCAATTAAGTACATTAAAAGCCAAATAAAATTTCCCAGCTATAATTTCCTATTATGAATATTTTATTCTAGATCAGAGTTTTAACATGGAGATAGATTTTCTTTCCTCTGTTATGTGGAGCAAAAAAATTTAGAAATTTAAAAAATCTGAAGACTTTCATTCAGGATTACATTCTGCAATTTCTGGTCCATCAGTAACTTGCAGTGATTTAAAAATTCAGCTTGAATGTTTCCTGTAAGAAAAGAGATAACATCAAACAATGTGGCACTGAGCATGTTTCCAAAACTGAGCTCATAATTCTAAATTAATACAAAATATAGTACAATTTTGATTAAGAAGTTTTGCAATCAAAAGAAAATGTTTAAAAGAAAAAAAAATTGGGGGGATGGGGTGTTTAAACATTTCAGAACTTCTGCTTCCAGCCAAAATGGAGTAATAAGAACCAAATTTATTATCTCGCCTTTGATAACTAAACAAATTGATGTGGGTGAGGCAAAGAACAACGGTTTTCAGACACTGGACAGGCAAAACAGAACAGTGATCTCTGAAAGAAGAAAAAAAAATGAAGTAAGCCCTATAAAGGCTCGAATTTATTACTTGGAGAGTGTCCAAGCCATAGGGCAGGAAAAGAAACTCAGGCAGAACCCAACAGTGTACCTGAGAAGAAGAGAAAGAGTTCAGACTTCAGGAAGGTCAAGGAAATAAATAAAGAGGAACAAAAAAATAAGAATGACAGCAGACATGTCATCAGAAACAATGCAACCCAGAGGGAAGTGGAGCAAATCTTTTAAAGTACTGAATTTGAAAGAAAAAAAAAGAAACATTGTTAATGGAGAATTCTATACTCAGCAAAAAAATGTGTTCTGCAAATGAAAATGAATAAAAACTTTTGCAGACATACAAAGCTGAAAGAATTCATCGCTAGTAGACCTTCACTATAAGAAATGACAAAGACAGGAACTGGCGTTGTGGCTCACTGGTAGAGCGCTTGCCTGGCATGTGTAGGACACTGGGTTCAATTCTCAGCACCATATTAAAAAAATAAATAAAAAGATGAAGGTAATTGTGTGCTAAGAGCCAAGTATATGATGCATGGCATTTTTGGTCGAAAGGTGACACCAGCTAGCCATTGAGATGATATGATTATGTTAAGATTTGCATTCATATGGCTATTGGACTCCTGCTGTTCACCTAGGCCGGCTACGGGACTCCTGGAGAGTTCCCATTGGTTGGGGAAGTACAGTAGGAGGGAGTTCCGGGGGAGGGGCGCTCTCTGCGGGTTGGGAGGAGGCCGCGTGGGTGGATCAAAAATCTTCCCGGGCGCGTAGCGGACATTGGCGGCAGTTTCAAAAAATAAAGTTTGTTCCTGCTTGAGTGGCTCGTGATTTTGTGCCCAGCCAGACTGCAGCAATTGTGTTCATCTACAACCCCCAAAACACACACACACACACATATATATACACATACATACATACATATACATATACTATATATATATATATATATATATATATATATACACACACATATATATGTATATGTGTATGTATGTATGTGTATATATATAGTCAAAGACAGTCCTTTAGGCAGAAGGAAAATGCCAGATAGAAATATGCCTACATGTAAAGTAACAAAGAGTCTGAAATGCTAAGCATGTGGGTAAATACATTTTTTTTCTCATTTTTTAAACAAGACAATTGTGATAGTAACAAGATCATTGACCATTTAAAACAATGAATTGTGGAGTTTATAACAAATATAGAAGTAAAATATATAACCAAACACACAAAGGTCAACAGTGGGGAAATGGGGCTAGACTGTGACAATGTTATTCTCTACATGAATCATTATACTATTAATTAAAGTTAGGCTGTGATAAGTTTGAAGATACATATTCTAAATTGTAAAGCAACCACTTTTTTAAAAGACACAGGTAATGAGAAAAAAATTAGTATCATAAGAAATTTCTATTCATTTTAAAGGTCAGAAAAAGAAGGAAAAGTGAACAAAGAACAGATGAGATGAGACAAATAGGAAACTAAAGGTAGATTTAAATATTTCAAAAAGCAACTTTAGGCAGTATTTCCAGCCCCTTCCTCAAATATAAACATTTAAATTCCCGTTTCTTTTAAATAAGAAACTAATCACCTGAATATCAAAACAATTCCCCTGAATATCAACAGACATTTTATAAACCTTTGATTTTGAAAGGTATTATTCAAAAACTAGTTTATCTCATCTTTATTTTCCCAATACATTACTGGACCCTTTCTCCATGCTAGGTCCTGTGCTATGGGCTGGAGAGCTAGTACCTGCTAGCAACTCTACTAATAGAGGGAAGATGAAACAATTTCCATTCATCTGAGGAGGTGCAATTATAAAGGACATACAAGGCACTCTGGAACCAGAAGGTGCCCATCACAAGTAGGTACAGCTCTCTCCCAAGGCCGCTCATCAGCAGTCAGACTCTGTGGTCAGTGCCAGCTTGCTTTGCCTTTGCTCTTCACCTCACAGATGTCCTTCTTCTCCTTGTTTTCCTATATTCGCTTTTCCCAAAAAGTTATCAACTTCCCCTTATTTTATTACTCACATGTCCCCTCACACAGTCTCTCGCCTGCTCTCAGCATATACCAGTCTTCACAGCTACCCTAAAGGATCTGACCACACCCTAGCAATCACCTTCTTCACAGGGTAAAATACAGCCACACAGAGCAGCACATCCTAGCTCAACACCCCAGCCCTTCCCACCTTTTGCATCTTACTTCCAAACCTGGTTTCTTTTTGCTTTTCTTTGGAAAATGCCTCTTTTTTAAATTTTGTAGGTATATGCTCAGTGTAAAAAAAAAAAAATCAAACAATGTAGAAAATGACACGGGGAAATGTTTTAAAAGCACTAATCCCACCTTGAGAGAGAACCATTGTTAATATTCCAAGGGCCTTCCTTACAGAACACTCCCATGCATCAATGTGCAAAGACGTATGTATATAATTGCACAAATACCAGTTTATGTTGTACATGTTGTTCTGTAGGTGCTTTTTAAAATTTAAAGTGCATCATAAACAATTTTGCATGTTAAGAATGGTACAGATTGGCTGGGGATATAGCTCAATGGGTAGAGTGCTTGCCTCACATGCTTGCATGCACAAGGCCCTGGGTTCAATCCCCGGCACCACCAAAAAAAAAAAAAAAGGAATGGTACAGATAACTTGAAGGGCTTATTGTGCTAACTTGGGTTTAATATCTTTGCTGTAATTTTTAAAGGACACCTTTTCAGACCCAAACCTTCACATTGACAGTTGATCTGTCCTTTCTCACCCATGAAGTAAGCAATTCAAGGTACGAGAGGCTTAAAATACATGATTATTATCTCATGTAAGTCTCACTCAATCCTATAAGATAGTGTGATAGTCTTTAAATATGTTCATAAATTCTTTGATACTTTTATTTTCAAAAGGTGGAGGCCAATTCCCTTTCCTTTGAATGTGGGTTGTGCCTCCTAACTTCCTTCTAACATAACAGAATGTGGTGGAAGTGACAAGTGTAGGTTCGAGATTGACACCATAAAAGACATTGGGATTTCCTCTTTGCTCTTTCGCTCCTTCTCCCACTTGTTCTCAGGACAAATGCCAAGGACTGAGGACTCCCTCCAACAGCCATCTGAGTGTGCCATCTTGGAAGTGGCTTCCCCAGGCTCAGCCATGGCTTCAGATGATTGTAGGCACCACCTACGTCTTGACTGTAATCTCATGAGAGACATTTAGCCACACAAGCCATTCTCAAATTCTTGAGCCCAGAAACTGTGAGGTAACAAATGTGTATTGTTTTAAGCCATAAATTTGGGGTAATTTGTTACATAGCAATAGATAGCAAATAAGTTCTGTTATCCACATTGGAAGATTATAAATGAAAGCATAGATAAGTTAGGTCAATTGCCAAAAATTATCCTGGATCTTTGGCTGGAAAATAATGGAGACAGAACTCAAACCCAAGAAGCTTGACTCCAGAAGTTCTTTTGTTAATCACGGACTATGCTGCTTTCTCTTCTATTTAGCCTGAAACCCCATGGGTTTGGTTCTGATGTATGTAAAGGCTCATGGTCATGGGGAAGTGTCTATGATGCCTCACAGATGTCATCACAAGAGACAACCAAGGTTCAGCAGCTCTGTTATATCAGTAACATGATGCTGAATTTACCATTACCAGTGCACACACTCCTTTCCTCACATCGAAATTTTATTTGAGTTTGTCTCTGGAAGGCTGAGGATTATATCCAATCTGCTGAAGCAATGGTCTTTGTTTCACCTCCAGCTGTATTCAGGAATGAGCAACATCACAGAGAGCTGACTCCCTGGAGCACTAGACTTGGCTCCATCTCAGCCCATTCCTTTATTCAACAAATATTTGCTGAGTACAAAGTCAAATAAGTCACAAATCTGACCTTTGTTTTCCTTACAACCTAATAAATCACCAGACAACGTACAGTACAAACAGGATTATGATCTGCATTAACACAGAGGAAGAGCACCCATCAGAGGAGATAAGGTGGGAGTGGTTTCTAGAGTGGGTTTCCTGGAGAAGTTGATGATTGAGCTGAGTTTTTAAAGATAAGTCAGAGTTAGCAAGATGAAGACAGGGGGCATACTTTCCATGGAAAAGCAATGTGAACTATCAAACATCCACACATAGGGTCTGGCACCTCTGGAAAATCTTTTAACCACTTTTGGGTTTGATTTCCTCTCCCATAAAATAGAAATGAAATCATCTATTCCATAAGGCTGTGAAAGAAACACTTTGGAAACTGCCAATTCAGGGGAAATGTTTGTTATTCTATACCTTGTAAATGTCTTCATGAGAGACAACAACCAAGGTTCAGCAGCTCTGCTGTGTCAGTGATGTGGTGTTGAATTTACTGTTGCCAGATA